AATGTCTATTTTTATTCTATTAAATCATTAATCTCCTACTTCCAACTGATGACCTTTCTTACCGAATTCCTACCCACTTGTTTACATAGTTCTATATTTATGGATCACAGCTTCAACTCTGTAAATCAGGTTGTCACTAGTTGCTTAAACGAAAAGACAGCTCCTAAAGTGGACAATTAATTCAATAACATGGCTGGCCCATAATACATCTATTTAACAAGGCTCAAAAGAAGAAGCCTAATTATAATTAATGATTTTCTAGTATCAAAACCCCACTTAGGCATATTCCTAACTGATCAAAGTTCATTCTAAGTTTGACATCTACCTCTCACGTTTTAGTTGGCTATGATCCATCCAAGTAACATATTAACTACTAATTTTATTAAGTATCCATAGAGGCACTGGCAAAGGTCAACCTTAACTAGTTCATCTAATTACCATCAGCTACTCCAAAAGCTTCTTAACTCATCCGATTTCTTTTCCAAAATTCCGATACTAATCCTTAGAAACTATTTGATGGGAAGAACGACAAATTAATCTTTCTATTTTGTATGATTGAAAATGACCGACCAGCTTTTGTAGCTCCGATCCATCGACCTTTCTCCGATTCGCCACTCTTTTTTCTTTGAATATAAGTCCGTTGATCTAGCACTGGCTGGGACTAGAGCTACTACTATCAACTTGAATGAGAGAGTTTATAATAAGGTCGTGGGATTTCACTTCTTTAATCAAATCCAAAGAAGCTAAAGGTTTAATAGAAACTTGATTCAATGTCAGTACGGGGAACACGAAGTCATTCTGCGGGAAAAGAGTGGGGAAGTATGCTATTATATTAAAAGAGTTAAAGGAGGCGGATTTTTGACCGTATGAAGCTTTATTATTAAGCTTTAGAATGATTGAGGGCGTAGCTTTGTTTCCAAGCAGGCCTAATATATTTAAATGGTGATGTAGATTTGTCTTTTGTTTTACATTGCAAAAGAAATACTCTCTCCGCACTCAAAAAATAATCGACATCAAATTTTGGTTTTTATACTAAATTCGAAATACCTCGACTTTTTTAAAACAGGTCCTTTTTAGTAAAAATTACAAAACTCAATATTGACTATTTTTTTGGTACGGGAGTAGTATAAAATCGAGCAGTGAGAATGAATATAAAATGGATTCTACTAGAGTTCTTCTCCGTTTGGTTAGATTGAATTGCAATTGAATTGGAATTACAATACTATTAAATTGAAAATGAGATATTAATATTGTAATTCAATCTCAATTCTCTTGTTTGGGAGATCTTGAAAATTTATTAGAATTAAAGTTCTAATTCCAATTCTTGCGTTTGGATGCATAAAAATTTGGATACTTTAGAACTGAAATTAGTTTGTTAGTGTGTAACTAATACTAGTACAATTTATACTTTTTGTCAAAAACTTTTTTTTAAAAAAACTTATTTTATTATGGATATGTATAACACAAAAAAATAAATAAATTCATTATGTACATGTATATTTAACTACTTTGTGGTTGTTTAACTAATACAATTTTTACTTTTTTTGTTAAAACGAATTACTATTATTAAATAATTTGCTATATCAATTTTGTAATTTATTATGTACACACATTTTTGTTGGAAACAAAAAAAATATTATTACGTATAAGAACTATTAATATGATACTTAAAATTCTCACTTAATACACAAACAAGTAACACGTAAAACATCTTCGTTTTTCTCTCTTTTATTATTTTTCAAAATTTTTAATTTTTGATGTTTTGATTTATATCAAAAATTAAAAAAGATTTTTATTATATAACATTGAAAATTCAGTTTATGATATTGAGGTTCATTTATACATAGATTAACATTGGTATATAATATATGCTTAAATATTTTTATTTTTAGTATATAATTATATATGAAATAATAGATACTTAAAACTCAACTTACATAATTTTTTGTGAAAAGATGCCATGAATAGTTAAAAAATATATATATATGTATTATAATATAGGTATATATATGGAACAATTTCTATTAAAAAAATGAAAATGTTATATTGTTTACTATGTCATAATATAATAAAAATATTAACTAAAACTATAATATTTAGTTATTAATTTTTTTTGGTTACAACTATACTTTTGATTTTTTTGTAAAAAAAGATACAATGTTAATTTTAGATTTATTTCATTGATAATTATTAAAATAATATATATGAAATAATAATAATAATAATGAGACAAACGGCCCAAAAAAAAGAAAAAAAAGAAAAAAAACGCCAGGAAGCGCTGAAAGCAAAAATAGAAAAAGAAAAAAGTTGAAAAAATAAAATTATAAAAAATATATATAAAAAAAAGCCAAAAGACAAAAATTGATAGGACGACCCGTTTAGGTTATAACCCGGAAACGACCTGGCTATGACCCGCATATTTTTTTTTAAGTGCCTTGAATTTGGATTCTAATTATTTGCTCCCACAAAAGAATTGAAAATAAAGAATTGAGTCCTATCTTGAATTATAATTACAATTCTTGGACCTCTATTTTTAGCAACCAAACACAAGAATTGGAATTATAGAGCTCCAATTTCAATTCTTGGTCCCAATTCAATGCAACCAAACAAATCCTTAAGTGGGTTTGCAAGAATAGCTGGTCATATTCAGTTTTGACCATAGCTTTGCTTTCACGGTGAGCTAAAAGGGAGAGCCCTATAGAACAAAACAAATTAGACACCTTCTACTTACATCATTTTGGTGTCAGCCTTGTATCAAACTTAGTTTAATTTATTTTAAAGCTTCCAGTTTATTCTATTGAAGGACTCTAATTAAGTCAACATGTTACTTCAATCAATTAGTCATCAAATGGAAGCATACGTACTACATGCCTCTATATTCCTAGCTAGTTACTATTTTTAACAAAATTTATATTTAGAAAAGTTTTGTTCTCAAATTATCAATCCAAGAAACTGTATATATATCCTAGACTTCTTGTCTTTTAAGAAAGAATCACATATAAACCCGAATTTTGGTCCATTGATTTCATCTCTTGACCGTGCTACTGATCTTTAACTAAACGCCTTTCTTTTTAAATTCCTTTTTTTTTTTTTTTTCGTTCATGTTCTCTTAGGTTAGTTTAATCTACTTTTCTTATCTCGTATATTGAGTGTCAAACTGAATGTTTCTTAAATGATTCCGCATTGTTCTACTTATTAGTACTCCAAAGCCTTCAAAATGGACATGGATTTGTTTGGACCTATGTGAACAGGCATTCTGATTAGTATTCAATTACATCGATCTTGTTTCCCATTATAAACTAATATCATATTATCTCATTTCCTTCCCAAAGAACAAATCATTTTTTTCTCAATTTTAAACCTCCAAAATTTCCCACTCAAACTATTATATATCTATATATGTAGCATTTTATTTATTTATGTATATATAGGAAAATTCTATGGTCCAGTCAGACTTTTTGACTGAACCATCCAGCTAAATTTAACAAATAAAAGTGGAGCACACCTTATTATGTGATTATGGGACATGCCACACCACAGGAAAACCATGTTATTTGTTGACCGGGTAATTAGATTAGTTACTGAGTATTTTCTTCTATTTTTAATAAAATTACTAAGATATAAAATAGCACACATCATCACCCTCCATGCTGAAGCTAAAACAACCATAATTCCCACAATTCAAGATACAGTTGTTCGGAAACTTCTACATCACTTGAGGATCAGAAACTTTTACTTGGCTTGAGAAAATCACTCACGTCCCTTCTACTAGAAAGAAAAAAATTCTGAAATTTCAGCCATTAAATTACTACTATTCCTCAAAGTTAATTAAAAAAATAAGAAGGGACATAGTGGAATGTTTAAGGTCAATTCAATCAGAATTAATTAGTTCCATGCACTGGATCAGGATTTTCATTTTTTTGTTCTGAATGATTGGGAAAACTGAGGTGGATTCGTTTCCAGGGTCTCCTGGGTTGAATGAATTCAGGGCGAAATTCTACAGATTCTCATCAATTCCGATACCCGAATTGTGAAGAAGCGAAGATCCAGAAATCGAAGGAGGTGATGTATGGCCTTAAAAGAGAATCATTCTAGATGATGAGCCAAATCTAGAAGACTCCAACCAAATGAAAACTCATCGATGACTCTCAATCCTGCAAAAAACCTTCCTCATCCTTGCAACGTAACCTAGTCGTCTATTGAAACATTTATATTTTTTCCAAATCTGAAACATTTTTTTTTGTGTTTTAATTCTTTGTTTTATTATATTTTCTTTCGAGCATGATGATGTAGTCGGCAATCTATATATTTTTCGGATAATATGAAGGCAACTGCCAACTGGCACAACACGTTATTGGTTAAATGGCAACAATCTAGTGTAAGTGGTGTATTTTGCTTCAAAATACACTCATTTTGATCTAACGACTATTGTTGCTTTCATGAATCCTACGATTAGTAATATATGTATGAACGTTCAGTCGACTGGACTCTAGCGATTCTCAATAAGTGTGTATATATATATATATATATATATATTGAAATAAATCTACTCTATGTTAATTTTTTTTTTTTTTGATAATTATAAATGCTATATAGTCTGAAAGTCTTACTTCACAAAGACGTTTTTCATATTTTAAATATCTTTAATTTTAATACTAGCTATCTAGGTATTAACTAAGTTATTTTTATAATAAATAAAGCAAATTAATATTTTCGGGTTCTACAGTGAGTGGAAAATTACAGTATATTATTGTTTATTACTCTTGATTTTCAACCAGTAATAATGTACGTTACATATGTATTTTTAAGTAGTAAATTAATTATTGCTAACATCATATAAACGAGCACTGGACGAATATCTTTCTTTCTTTTCTTTTTCAGTTTCCTTTGGAATAGGATTAGTAGTTCTTTATATATATTCGATGGCTTTTTATAGTTTATTTTACAATTAATAATTATTATAGTACTAAAAACAAAGTATTAATACATATAACTAAGATTTCCCATTTAGTTTTGAGTAGAAAAAAGTAAAAGGCATCAATATTAAAGGGGAATTAGGGGAAAACCCGAAACATGTGACCGTTCTTTACGTGGTGTCATGAGACCGAAACAAGATTTTCCTCTTACCACTCCGAAATCCAATCCAAACCATTTTATCCAAGCCATCATGATGGTTATATATATCCAAGAACAAATTATTTCACAAATGAAGAAAACCACAATATCAGCAACAAAAAATTTCTTGTGTCATGGCATCACAAATCTTTACAACATGCTTTTCTATTTTGATTGGATTATTTTTGCTCAAAGATGTTGGTGCTTCTAGTGATATGGGTGTAAAGGGCGATTCTTCCGTCAGGATCACCCCTAGTGAAATGGGTGTGTACGAGTTAGTAAAGGGCAACTTTTCCGTCAAGATCTCCACTTATGGTGCTACTGTTCTCTCAGTCATTCTCCCTGATAAAAATGGTTCGTTTCTTTTCCCATTTCTTCCCCATGATCACGCATCAGTCTTTGACTAAATGGCCCCAAAAATTTGTGATTTTTCGGTCACTGGTTATTATTATTTATTTTTATTTTTATTATTATTATTATTATTATTATTATTATTATTATTATTATTATTTTGTGGTTTTTATTGGATGCTTGCAGGAAAATTGGATGATGTGGTTCTTGGTTATGAAACCGTAGATGAATACAAAGTGAGTTTTGCTTGATTGCATTTTTTTTTTTGGTGATGAAATTTTGTATCAAAAGTTGGAAGTATTGCTTTAATATAAAAATTAATGTGCTCTACATTGGGGAGTTTAACGTTCTGAAAACTTTGTCTAATTGGAATAGGAATGTGCTCAATAATTGCTAGCTTTGCTGAGAATTCCTAATTTGTCTTTTATAGTTTTGACTTTGCTAATTAATAATTTTTTCTTTATTTTTTTTTTTTGGTTAAAATGCAGAATGATTCAACTTATTTCGGAGGTCTTATTGGTCGTGTGGCAAACCGAATTGGAAATGCTAGGTTCAAGCTGAATGGGGTTAGTTATAACCTTCCCGCCAATGATCATGGAAACACTCTTCATGGTACTTCTAATTTTCCTTTTGAAGAATGAGTTTTTTGATATTTGTAACCATAAATCTCAAATGCTTAGCTCTCGAAATGTTCACAAATTCGTTCAGGTGGTAGTGTTGGATTCAACAATGTTGTATGGACAGTAGAGGAGTATGTTAGCGATAGATTCCTTAGTCTCCATTATCATAGCCATGACGGTGAACAAGGTTAGTAGTTTTTATTGCTATCTGATTTGGGTGGAGATTAGTTTGAATGTGATGTGATTTTTAACAGATTCATCCAAAAACTAGTGATGATCATTGACAAACTTTTGTTCAAATTTGGAAGGATTTCCTGGAGCAGTTGATGTTTATGTGATGTACATGTTGATTGGAACCAACAGATTGGCCATCAAAATGGTAGCCAAACCTCTGGAAAAACCTACACCAATAAACCTTGCATCCCACACTTATTGGAATCTTGCTGGTCACAAGAGTGGTGACATTTTGTCCCATGAAATCCAAATCTTTGGTTCTCACATCACACCAGTTGACCAAAAACTCATCCCTACCAGAAAAATCATGAGCATCGAAGGCACGCCTTTCGATTTCTTGAAACCTAGGACCATTGGTAGCAGATTTAAGGAAATCCCTGGTGGATATGACATCAATTATGTCATTGATTACAAAGAAAATAATCATGTACACAAAGTCGCTGTTGTTTTTGACCCGAAATCAGGGCGAAAAATGGAGCTATGGAGTAACAAGCCCGGAGTACAGTTCTACACCAGCAACATGTTGAATACCACAAAAGGAAAAGATGGTGCAACTTACCATACTTATCAGGCATTCTGCTTAGAGACTCAAGGATTTCCAGATTCAGTCAATCATGATAATTTCCCTTCTCAAATCGTTAAGCCTGGAGAGAAGTACGAGCACCTTATGATTTATAGCTTCACACCTGTTTAGGTTTGTGTGTTGTTATTTTTTATTTTAATTTTTTGGTCTAGATGTCCTATTAGTTTACAAATTTCTATTTTTCTTTTCTTTGTTATCAAGATCAAATTGATTGATTTTCAAGGTATTAGTTTCTTTAAGGGTGAACTATATTTTACCCCTGAGTTTTGGTATGATCTACCATAAACCCCTTAAGTTTTAATAATACTACGATATACCATTTGAGCAGGGGTTAACATCTAAATGACTATGTTACCCATACATACACTTCATTTTTTTTATTTTATTTTTTTGGCTTGTTTTTCTTTGTATTTTGACCATTAAAAATAAAAATCTATTTAATTTATCATTTTCACATTTAATTATATTATAAATTTTAAAAAAATCCACGATTAATAATATAATTTATTTACAAATAAAAGTTAAATCTATAATTATTAATATAAATTAATTGATGAAAATTATTTTATTTTCAAAATAAATGATATAGTTAAGTTTCAAAAATTTACTGTATAAGTATAAGAAGATTAATATCAAATTTTTTAAACTTAACTTATGATATATTTTTTTTAAATGTTAAGATTATATAACTTCAAAATATAGAATGGAGGGTATTTTTGAATTTTTACACAATTTTTTTGGGGGGGGGGGGGCCAAAATGTGGTTCGCCCTTTCTTTAAAGTGTTAGGGAAATTAAGGAGAAAACATGGGGTTAATTATTATTATTTAATAAAATGAAATATGTTTCCACTAGGAGGTATTGTTGACATAACTAAATAAAATGAAAATATATTCATCATAATGGATACGCAGTATAATTGTATAAATTTATTTCTAAGTAATCCTACAAAAGTGTACATCACAATAATGAGCGAATAACTACAGCCATCTCTATAGGGGATTCGCGTTATTTTTTAACCAAACTCATTAACATTGTAAAAATAGAACATTATTTTGGATCTCCAATTCTAATGACCTTTGGCGAAGATACAATTGCAACTTCACTACCGAACGGAACATCGGGCAACTTTCGGAATCGCTATTATAACCAAGTAACCAACACCTCAAGAACACACACTCATATGAAAATACCCATATAACTATAGCCTTGATGAGTGTTATTGATTCTTTCTCTGAATTATCTGGCTTGAAGGAAAATCGAAATAAGAGCAACATCTTCATTTCTTGAAAGGTTGTAAATGGAAAGTAAGCTTTGAAGAGTGTAGTTGGTTTCCATGAAAGAAAACTGCAAATGCGATATTTAGGAGTTTCCTCTAAATTATCTATACCTTCTAAATTATGTATCTCTAACTATGGTCCTTTGATAAAACAAGTGGAGGATCACACAGGTTCTTAGACCAATAAGTCACTTTCTTATGCATAGAGACTTACTGTTAAAGTCGGTTGTTTCATCTATTCATATTCATTCATTGGGCAAGATTATTCCTTTTACTTAAGTCTATACATCAAGAGGTAGAGAACAAGATGAGAAGATTAATGTGGAAGGGGTCAGGGAGCTATGGGTATGCAAAAGTAGATTAGGAGTCTGTTTGTTTAAAGGAGAAACGGTTTAGGTATTGTCCCTTTGTTAGCAACCAATCAAGCTCTCATGGTAAAATATATCTGGTCTACTATTTCTGTACAGATAACTTGATATGGGTGAAGTGGGCGAAGCAAAATCATAATAAAAATCTGTCTTTCTAGAGTAAATCTATTCATACTTCTTGTTCATGGGGTTGGAGGCAGATTTTGAAGTTACGACCGTAGGTGCACCAATTTTTTCAATATAAAGTTGGTAACGGTAACAAGTTTCTCTTATGGCTTGATCCTTATCATCCATTTGGTGTGTTTGGGGATATACTTTGAGTTATTACAGTCTTTGGAAAGTTATGGGTGTTGAAGTCACCAAAATAAAAATAAGTTAAAACTGTAAATAGCAGTAAGTTGGGTCAATTCCATAGGAACGGGTGAAACTTTCTAATAACCTGACAACTAACAAGAACTCAACAATTGAACATAAAATCCATGACTTCTGTAAGGGGTAAATAAGACTTCACGAAGTGATGGAAACCTAGGATCTTCATTCAGTCTCCTCTATTTAGTTATAAATTTGCACTTTTGTGATATGAACTTGTGTTTCATCATACTCTAATTTACCTCAAAATCACTTCCAATTTTCCAAGGGGAGTCTTTGCAAGATTAAACATACTGTCTTCTTATGAAAGTTCAATTTACAAAGCCATTAGTTCTTAGGTCTTATGTGGTCACCCATGCCAATTATGCATATTCCTATCCTAATTGAAACCCTAGACTGTTACCTTCATGTCACTGACCAAACCTAAATGTTCTAGCTATGCTTAACCTTTCGAGATTCACGTAATAGGCAAACACAATCGACTAATTGATCAGGTTAACCAAAAGGTTAATTCAAGCTTTAGAATTGGAAATAAAAAATCATCCAAGTACAATTTGTTACTTAAACTACATAAATTAAAGGGATTAGACCCTAAAAAAGAGTTTAACCACTTATAATGCAAACACAGACACAAAGGAGATGAATAACAAAGTATTGAGCACTAATACAAAACAAGAAAACCAGCTAGAGATAAAAGTAACTCAGGGATTTTTGTTGTTCTGCCCAGGTGACTGACTTGACAAAGTGCACAGAGCCTACGTCCTCCTTGTTGTTGATTATCTTCCTTCAGCCCTTTTGTGTTGTGTAAAGTCCAGCTCTTTATTGATTCTAATATTTTCTTATATAGAGCTGCTTCCTCATTCCCTTTTTCATGATTGATCATACTTTTCCATGGAGTCGAAACCCATTTTTTCCTTAGTCGTTGATCACTTTTTAGCCCGTATCTCTTTGTCCTCTTTGTCTATACTAATACACTTTTTTTAGCATCTTTTTAGCCACTTTTTGACCCAAAATCGGCTACTTTATACAGTCAGATCAGCCACATTCTTCGTTGCAATCAAGTCCAATAATGACATTCCATTTTTGCATACTTTGCCCCTCTTTTGTTCCACATTTGCATCCAATCCCTTAATTAAGCAATAAACGTAAAATTCACATAGAAGTAGACAACTCTTTATTAAATACCATAATTTATAAATAGGAAGAGATTAAAAAGACTTGCTTTTAATATGAATATTTGACCTTTATCAACTCCCCCAAACTTGAAGAGTTGCTTGTCCTCAAGCAAAGTACAAAGAAATCTCTTTCTACATGACTTTAACTCAAACAACATAATTGATCTGTCAATTTTTTGTCTCATAATCATTTTTCACAACAAGAGATAGTATACACCTCCGTTCACCAGCACTTAGACAAGTGAGCAGCTCACTTCCGTGAGTGCGTGAAGCATACCACATAGCAAAAGTTCTGTTGACCTAACAATCTATTCTAAGAATTTACCTATTTTAGAGCAAATGGGCATTATGTGATCAGTAGTTGTTCCCATGTTACCATTAGGGAAAGATACTTGTTGGAAAATGGACACAATTTCTTCATGATCCAGGAAACATTCCCAGAAATTATTTTATTTTTGGGAAAATTTTTGAAAAGGGCACCGAAAAGTTCAGTTCATAAGGGCATTAGAATTTTTTATTCTTTTTTGTAAATGTCTTAAATATAACTAATGTTTTATGACAATCGTAAAGATATTTTATCCCTCTTTTGACCCCACAACATCATTCTTACTAAAGATTAATCGGAAATGGTTCTTCTGTTCGTCCTCCTTTTAATTGAGATTTCGAATCTGGATTCTTGAGTGTAATGATTCAATCAGAGTTGTCTTCTGTTGTTTCTCGTTTGGATTTAACTTTCATAATTTTTATATTTGAGCTTTAATTAATAATGAAAATTGAACCCCAATAAGAGTCCTAATTGTCATTAAAAAAAATGGGATCGGTGGCCACCGGAAATCCAATTAGCCTTCGTCACAACTGAAGCCTTCAAATCAAGTAAATGTTTTTCGGTGAAATTTCCATTTGTATTATTCTATTGATTTGTTCCTTTCTTTGGGGTTTACTCATTCTTCTTGTAAAGCATCTCAATTAATCTTCTTGAATTTTACAAATGGTTAAGGTGGTTTTGCATATATTTCTTTTACGAATGTTTGGTTCTTTGAGTACGAAATTCTTGTTGGGAAATGAGAAAAATTCGTTTAGTTCATTGCTTGTTCTGACCTTAATATTATATATGAAAACTGCTTTGTATAGAAGTCAATAAAATGAGAAGAATGATCATATAGATGGAAGAGGCAGATTTGTTGAAACCTTTTCTCATTCGGTGGTGACAACGGAGATTGCAGTGATCCGTTCTTAGAAGCTGCCAAAGAATAAGGATTGTGTCAAATTTGATTCCCAAGCGGATGTGTTTAGGGTTCGAAGGAATTATAACTTGGGATCCTGAGAGTAATTAATACTCCGGACCTTTCGAGGGTAACTTGATACAATTGAAATTTCATAATTTAATTCATGAACATCAATTTCTGCAAATCAATAACTAGAATTAGAAACAGACCAGGCAGGATAATCATACATGGAGCAGAAACTGACTGAGGTCATAAGAACAAAGAAAAAAAGAAATAGGAAAACGTAAAGAGTATTGCTGGTTGAGGAAAGGGTGTCCTTCACAATATTGGAAGATATAACATTTATTTTAATATTCATGATGAAAAATGAAAAAAAAATGTTAATACCCTTAAAAATAATATAGATCTTTCATATGCCTTTTTAAAAAATTTTCCCTTTATATTTTATGGCATGCTATTCGGGAAAGACTTCTGACGACAAATAAACCATGTTTGCAATGTAAAGGTCAAACATGTGCACTCTGTGATGTTGGGATTAAATCACGTCAAGACCTGCTTTTTTAATGTTCATATTCAACTAGTTGCATTTCCATTCTTCAGCAATAAGTCCAATTCAGATGGCCAAATGTTGAGTGGTATAATGTGGGCATCAAGGAGGTGGAGGGGCAAACACTTAGTGAATGTAGCATATCGTATTTAATTTTCTTCTTTAATTTATTCTTTGTGGCAAGAGAGAAATAGTCATAAGTTTGAAAACAAAAAGAGCTCACTTGAGGTCTTAGGGCTTGTTTGATAATACTACTTATTGCTTAAAATTATTCTATTAAGTACTTATTGATATCAACATGTTTGATAACAAAAACTGAACCTCTTATTGGATTAAGTGGTGAAGAAAATGCAGTACAAAATGTAAGCAATAAAAGTTAAATTATTGTTTATTCTGTAACTGCTC